GTTCTCACAGGGAATCGAATATGATGAGGACGACTACTTCCGTTACGATATCTACTCCCATCCGGCCGTGAAGCCTGTAGCCATCGTTCCGGGAGACGAATACGCCATATACTACCCGGCCTCTTACCCGATCCTTAGCACTGTACCCTTTGTTCCTGCACCCCCGCCCCCGTCAGTGGCTGCCACCCCCATCATCTCTGTTGGCTCATTAGCCCAGATATCGCCGCTGGCTGTGGCACCTGGTCAGGTGCCCTGAAGGAAGGTGTAGTTGTTAGTGAGACTCGAGTGAATAAAACATTTGAACACTGTTTCTGGGCGTTACATTTCTGTCGTCACCAACGGTTCTTCTCTCCCTCATTCTCTTTAGATGTCCTTTGCTACTTTGTTGAAACAGGCCACTGTCACTTCCTTCTGAATCCTCTCTCAGTCACGTTTCCTCACACAAGGCTTGCAAGACGTGTGACTCTGCTGCATTAAGGGATACTGACACAAGGGGTCTGAAGTTTAGTCTGGTATGGACACACAGCTTCGAGGGGTTTCACCCTCACAACTTCCGTACTCTTCTCACTATGCAGAACAAATGTACAGAGTTCTACAAACGGCATTCGTTTGTCTTTTAAACTATTTTCCCGTTTCGAAACCAGGCTAAAAACTAGGAATTTCGGTGCACACAAAAATTCGCTTCCCTTGACCCCGATACTGCAAAGCATCGTGGTGTAGTTCGGTCATTCATTGGCTGGGTTGCCAGACGTCAATTGTTTATGACTGATTTATTTGTGTGTGTTTTCGTGTGCACACATTCAGTGCCTCTGAACAGACCGGAACAAAGCTGTGTGTTATAGATGGCAAGGTTCATTACTGTGGGCGCGCAACTAATCCATTCACCGAGTTCATACGGAGTGTTTAGCTGTGTGCATTTCCCATTAATTTTGTTCAACGTAAACCTTAATCGCATTTACTTACATTTTTAACCCTTCAGATATTTAAATGAATTAAATTCACGCTTAACTTACTTGTAAAGTGCTGTAGCTTATTTCGAGTTTCTTCACAATCTGTCAACTGTATCAGAAATTATACGCTAGATCTAAACATTGAATTAGGTCGTTGAGTAAAGTGGCCTTTCAAACGGACCAAGCTAAACTGTAAGCAGGTAGTTCTGTAAAAATTATCTTAAATCTGTAATACCAAGTTTAAAAAAAATTAGTTAGATAGTAAGGTCACTTTTACTAACGGAAGGACGGTGGACGACATGAATCTGATACGTAGATGGTTTTCAGTCCTTGTTTTTCGAAACGATCCTTAAGTGGATGTCAAAATGAGGCTATAAACTGGGGCCCAAAATTTAGTCGCTCTGCAGAAGAGGCGAGATAATCTTTCGTTGGCTTGGTCATCGTCAATCACCCTGTAGCCGCATCTCACTGGTGACTTCACAGAGCTCGGTGCATCGGCCAGTGTTGACAGTCAGATACTTGAGAACACTTCATTGAAGAAGTATTCATTATTGTCTGAGGACAGAACAAACAAATTAAAGGCATTCAGCGTTTTGCAAGTGCGTAGTCAAGCAACGATAGGTGCGTAAGATTTCTATTGTTCTTTTTCATCAGCGCAACAAACAGGCGAACTCTTAATTCAACTTTAAAGCCGAAAACGTATTTATACATCACTAATTAATTAACCAACTCATTCAATCTTTGAGAAACTGATATTCGCTGAGCTGGTCAAGAAGTTATACATATATGAGTAGTTGATATAACGGCATTTAACAGCGGGAAAATACTTTTTCCTTTTGCGTAATGCCAGTTTTCACTGCAGCGCTGTGCAGTTTACATTCCTCGCAATTAATGACGCTGAAGTTTCCACGAAGTCTCGCCATTATGTCTCCCCCCACCCCTTTAACCAAAATGACTTTATGACAGCACATTTGGTGTCCGTCTGATTTGTAGACGTGAGGATCTGAGATCGAGTCTGTCAGGATTGTCATAAATCAGCTGACGATGATCACAATGGTCGTAATGTAATTATTTTAGTCGGTCAGTTGCCTAAAGGCATAGAGGAGTTGCGGATGTCTGCACTACATGGGGTCAAATATACGCTTCGGTTACCTCACACCCTAGTGAAGAGCCGCTGTTACATACTAAGCCGTGAATCGAACCCCGGTCGTTCATATTCCAGACGGTCATTTTGCTGACTGAGCTATTACGGATAATAACAAATGTAGTTAAGTGGGTCTATGTGAGTGGGCTGGACGACCGGGTTTCGATACCCGACAAGGCAGGATTTTTCTCTTCGCCACAACGTCCAGACCGGCTGTCTCCTACGCATTGGGTAAGGGATATTTCCTTTTTGGGGTAAAGCAGTTGCAGCGTGAAGTTGATATCTTAGCTCCATCCAGTGCCGAGGTTAATAATGCGTACTGAGCTGTACCTCCACATCTCCATACGTCTGCACGGTATTGTACTTTACTATACACAGTGGCAATCTTACCTTCTAATTTTATACTCCTTCAGGCCTATGTTATAGTGAGTATGTGGAACTAAGAGTGGGTGTGTTCTGGTCATTTGCTACTGGAGTATATTTTAATTTTTCGTCAAGTTTTCATGTGATGGCCTACAACTTCGCGGGCCGCACTTCTCACAGACCTATCTGCAGCGAGGGAACTTGTGCGCATCCGATGAAGACTTTTGCTAGTAGAAATGGTGAATGTCCTCTGAAGTTGTTTTAGTATTCAAAGAATGCAATGGCTGCTCCGCCACACCATAGTCATTCCGTTTATTGGGATAGCTCCAAAAGCCCGAATATTGATTGAGTCAGCAGCAGACCCGCCCCTAGAAGTTATAGGACCTGCATTGTGTTCTCGCTTTTGTTGTGCGTGAATTATCGAGTTCTTTTTTCTTTTTTTTAAAATTTCTGTTGTTATCCACTTGAACGTCAAACACATCGACATCCCACAGAGTCAGCCAACATCAGTTCCTCCTTTTTAACTTTCAAACAACCTGGCATTTTGTGTGTTTTTAAACTGCAACACAGAACAGAACGGCAAACTCCACGGAACAGAGCCCATCTTGAGAAGGTGGTAATCACTCACCTGGACAAGATATCCTCCATTACTGCGTTCTCAAGAGGCACCATTTCTTGAGCCCGTTGAATCACCCTGCAGGCCTACAATGCATAATTGTCTCTCCGCCTACACATAGTCCCTTCAGGTTCTGTATGCAATTATCGACTTCTATAGGCGTGCTACATGTCCCGCGTTCCTCATCCAAATTCGTTCCACCTTAAGAAGTTATGAAGCTGTGGTATTTTTCTCCACCCCACCCCCGTCGCTTCCTCTCTCTTCGGTCCAGATATTCGCCCCATCACAACATTCTCAAACACCCACAATTTGTGTTCTGTGATCTGCCATCATGGCGAGAGACCAAGTTTCACACCGAATAAAATGTTAGGGAGCCGATATAACCGAGTCAGTATAGTGATTGGGCGACCGGAGTTCCATTCCCGACACAAGGTCCAGATCAGCTCTGGGGCCTACTCACTATCTTGTAATGGATAACTCTACAAGTTTTCTGTTTCAATATTTGTTGTTAGACATTACTTTGAAGATCTAAATAATCGTTGTGTTGGCAGTTGACTTTCTGATTTATTTCATTTCTGAGATGCTCGTCTTCTGAGGCGTAAAGCTTAAGAATTATATTTGCAACCGGTACAACTAACAACAACCTCTTTGTATGGTGAAAATCACTAGCACGATGACGAATGCTTGAGTCCCGTTGGAAGACGTCAATTTGACCGACCAGGCTGTGGCAGGTGTGGACGGAACTGTCGCAAATTCGACTCGAATCGCGGGCGGGTTCTAGTATTAGCAGTGCTGAACCTTCGGGTTCTGCCACCACGGCGATTGTTACTGGACCGATCTGTAATTGTACTAGAGGCTCTGCTGTCCGGGAAGTTGAAGTGAGTCGCCCAATCAACTCGTTTAATCCTTATGCAGATGTCGCCTTTTCCGCCGTCAGTTTGAACCAATCTGGACGAAACTAGGCGGAAGAAGCCTTGCCGACCGGAAGATGCTGCAACGTTTTTCCAGCCTGTGCAGAGCAGGGCGCTCTACTATTGATCTCTTCGGTGCGTCGTTCTAATGTCATTTCATGCAGGCTTGCCCCTCTTTTGCCCTCCCTCCGAACCGTGCACCGTCCCTTTTTGCCAAAACCCAGTACCGCAACCAACCGACCTGCCAATTGTTTCTGTTTTATTTGGGGGCGGGGGGGGGGGCTGGGCCCCCCCCCCCCCCCCCAAC